CAAAATTCACTATCTTTTTATACAGGGTGAGTCTAAAATAAGTACAAATATTTTCAGGGCTGGTAGATTCGATAAAAGAAACATATTTTCTCTTTATCATTTTTCAAATAAGTCCAAAAGAACCTTGGAAAATTAAAAAAAATATATATTTTCGCTTAAATTTTGAGAACCACTGGATCTTTTAATCTACTACCTATGTTGCCATATTATGAAGATATTTTTTTAACGAAACATAAAAAACTTCCAAAATTAAAAAAAAAATTCAAATTTCAAAAAAAGAAAAAATTGTATCCTGGGGTCGAAATGTACTGTCCCTAAAAATATTTGCACTTATTTAAGACTCGCCCTGTATAGTTCCTGCTTTAATATTTCTTAGCAGCGCCACCTTAAATTGTAATCTCTTTGATGGCCACTTTTCTATACAGGGTGTCTCAGATTTTAATCGGGAAAATTTAATAGAAGATAGAACTTGCAAAAATAAAACAAAAAGTTCAGATCAACTTGTAAGATTTGAAGCTTCCTTTTTGAGATACAGGGTACCATTAGAACCCTAATTATAATATTAATTACCAATTAGAATTTAATTTTTTTCGCAAGAAGTAAGCAAGATAGACAAAAAAGTCAGGAGACAAAAAAATTATATTTTTAATTACTAAATCCAAAAATAACATTAAACTTCTAAAAAAGCAGTGGCGTGCCTATTTTTTCCCCAAAATAATTTAACAGTGATGCCCCACCGCCGCCCCTGGCCATTAAACTTAAATCTAATTACATCAAATTAAGTCCCATAGTAAGTATTATAAACGGGTCAAGTTATATCAAAATCGATTAAATAGTTTTTCAAATATCTTAATTTTTTTTTCTTTTTTAAGTAACTTTAACACCCTGTATCTCGAAAAGGAAGCTTTAAATCTTACAAGTTGATATGAACTTTCTGTTTTATTTTTGCAAGTTCTATCGTCTATTAAATTTTCCGGATTAAAATCTGAGACACCCTGTATACGCCAAGATAATAATTCCCCTTACCTCTACCCTACATATTTTTGGGTTACTTCGTCCGGTGCAGTGTTGCCAGTTTACAAAATACCATATTTTTGATAGCAAACAGCACTGTATTATTAACAAACCATTTTGTTGATACGAAATATTCTTCTTAAAATAAGTTTATTTATTTATAATTAAAAGTAAAAAAAAACTTTAACACTTGACGGAAAAATTCTCCGTTGCATGTTTTACGCTTTTATGTATGGAAACCCTCAATTACTAGGTAAAATATAGTTTGGGGACAATCTGGTTACTTTATAAATCTACGGACCAAACACAAACATACTGAACGAACTGGCAACAACCCACCCACTTCGTAAATGCCGCGTTGACAAATTTCCCACCTAAGACGCACCTCTACCGTTTTTTTTTCTGGTGTCCGTATCTCCTATTTAAACACTAACACTATATGAACAGATCTAGAAACGGTATACCGAAGCACAATTTGCCAAAGTCTACTAACTGTACATCCACGAAAAAATCTTCCTGAGCAAGGTATTAACATCTTTTTACAATGATATTTCAATAGAATTTACGAATTTACTAGTCCCAAAAATAACACAGATATTTTGAATTTTCTTCATTTAATATAAGTTTCAATTTTTTGGGAGCAAGTAACAGTTGACAAAAATCATTTAATTACGATAGTAACGGTAGCATTTGGCGTAAAAATTATTTATCGTTTCAAAAATTGTAACTAGGTACCTAATTTTATTATATATACAAAGTTTTCTCTCTCTAAATTTTCTATATTATATACTAATCAGTCTTTTGCTATACATATACATAATCGATAAATAGTAGGTTAGATGAGACAGAGATGATGTTTGGTGGTGAAATTGAAGAAAATATGGTAGTGGGGGACCTAAAGAAACAGTTTATGCCATTAAAAATAGAAAAAATTAAAAATGTACTAAATGAATCTAGTAAAAACTAGTTTTTTTGGTCCCAGGTATCGTTGATTTTATTTTTTATTGCTTGTTTCTCCGTAAACATGACCTATAGACAAAGAACTACTAGTTTCTTCAGTTAATTGGTGTTTTTGTTTGGTGTTGATTAGGTTGATATTTTCCGTACAGAGTGTAAATAAATAATGAATTTTATTGTCTGCTTGTTACCTGCTTAATGTAGAAAAAAATATGTGGAGGTAAAGAAGTTTCGAAATTACTATTATATTAAAGGCCCATTCAGAATTTCCAAATTAGTGAATAAATTAGCGAGTTCAATTATTTTTACTTATCATTCGCAATGTCTAAAAAAAATGAATTAAAATTAATAGAATATCCTAGCAACAGCTTGCAGTAGTCAGTTCTATCGTTCTATACAAAGACATCTAAATGGATAGACAACACTAAATTCATAAAACTCAATTTTTTAGAATCATACATTGATTGGGATTGCCTCAGACCAATTTTTCATTACAACTAGTTTTGCCTGAGGTTTAACTGAGGGTAACTTTAATTTCACAATCGAAAGCGCCAACAAATAAGAAAATATACGTATTTTTGTAATAATCTACTTATAACTAAAAGTATTTAAATACGCTACGCTCTGTAAGTATGGCTAAAGGTAAAAAAAAAAACGTAATGACACTTACCGTCGAAATATCAATTCCCGGGTTAGAATAGTCCACCTTTTTACAAACTACGCACTGGCGAACCATCGTAGATAGTTAAAAACTACTTTAAATAGTTTTCTTTGCAATACAAACACTAATAATTATTAGAAAGTTGTTCAAAAGCTACAAAAACTTTCAACTCCGCAGAAAACTCACAACCGCGCGCTGTCAAATATAATTCGAATGAAAACAAATGAAAACGTCAAATGTCAGCGTAATTCCTACAGATTTCGACAATTTCGTAGTAAAGATGAATCCACAGCGATGCCGCTAGTTGTCATTGTAATTTCCCTAATATAATTTAATTAGAAAATTCAAAGAAAAAAAAAAGAATAATTTCAAAGGTATAATCCTGGCACAATCTATCTATATTAATTAAAGTTATACACTGGTTATACACTTTCTCTATGCATACTACTGACTAACGCAAGCTATTGCTAGGATATTCTCTATGGATATTCTATTAATTTTAATTGTTTTTTAGACACTGTGAATGATCGTAAACTAAAAAGCATAAAGTGTAATTGAAACCACTAATTTTGAGGCTATGAATGAAGTTTTAACAAGCAATTATTATCTATTTACATCCTGTATCTACAGAAATGAATATTAATATCTATATTTTAATAAAATTAATCGTATTAATAAAAAAAAATGCAGTCATCTTTAAAATCTAGAAAAGTAAAAAATCTTATTCCAAACCTGACATTAGAAGAATCTGTTAAAAATTCAATTATTTTTAGTTCATTATTTTTTCCTTTTTTATATTAAAAATTCTAACCTAAGTATATTTAGTAATCTCTTTCTCTCTCTCTCTCTTATCTTTCTTGCTCTCACTCATAAGGTTTAATAAAATGAACAGATCCCGACTGTATAGAAGAAATATTTAAAAAATATATTTAATATAATAAAAAAAATATTTCGTAAAATTTAGTTTAAACAAATCAGTTGTACAGGGTGTCCCGAATCTCGGAACCTATAGGCTTGGTGCATTCTTTAAATTATAATCACATTATTTAATTGAATCTTTGTTAAAATATTATGTCACTTTTGATTAATGTCATTCCGCACAATCGGGTCTTAGAAAATGAAAAAATATAATATGAAACGTAGAAAAATATATAGAATTTTAATAAATAGCTTATGTGCGTATGAAAAAAAAAAATGATAATACAAATAAAACCAAAAAAATTACATAAATACATACATTGTTTAGTAGTATCGTTCACCAAATGCTACCGTTGTAAACAAAACTGTACCTTGTATGTTTAACCGTTTAACTTACTTTTAAATCATTAAAAGGATTTTTTTTTAAATCAAACAGGTATTTTCATGAAAAAGGAATAAAATTTCGTAAAAAAATACAAAAAAAAAATTTTTTTGTGTGTTTTTGAAAATATAAAGTAATATATATATACAGAAACCTATTCTCGTAACTTATACTAAATTTTAAATAAAAAAATATACAGTATGTACAAAACTAAATTAATTAATAATGTTCCCTTTCAATCAAAAATACTTGTTCGAAAAATTTCAAAACCCTATTTAGTTAATTTTTATGATTTCGTTGAACAAGAAAAAGACAACTGGATTTTTTCCACGTTTATGTAAACAATTATTGTGTTTCATTTGACTGATTTTCTTAAATAAATGCGAATATTTTAAGTAAAGTAGTCAATTTCAAAAAATATAAGATATTTTTGCGCAATATACAGGGTGGTCCGAACTGTATTCCGGAAACTTCGGCAGCATATTCTGCAGATAAAATAAGTAAAAAAGTTCGTAGAAATGTATGTCCTAAAATGCTTAGTTTCGGAGATACAGGGTGTAGAAGTTTTATTTTCATTTCGATTTTTTCCAAATAATATTTGAAGTAACCTCAATATTTGGATGAAAATCGGTGTCTGGAAGTTTTTCGATATGAGAAATTTGATTTTGATGTCAATATGACTCCTACTAAGCGTAATAATTTTAGTCCGTACCTGTATAAAACTACTGAGTAAAAAAATATACATTTACGATATTTTCTACGTAAAATGTCACGGAAATGTATATTTTTTTCACTCAGTACTTTTATACAGGTACGGAAGAAAAATTATTGTTGAAAACATGTAGGTGGCGCCCCCTATAAATGGGAGTCATATTGATATCAAAATCAAATTTCTCATGTCAAAAAACTCCCAGACACCAATTTTCATCCAAATATTGACGTTACTTCAGAAATTATTTGAAAAAAATCGAAATAAAAATGAAACTTCTACACCCTGTATTTCCAAAACTAAGCATTTTAGGGCACACATTTATACTAACTTTTTTACCTATTTTTATCTGCAGAATATACTGCCGAAGTTTCCGGAATACAGTTCGGACCACCCTGTATATTTATATTAATTAAAATCAAGGGTTTCAACAGTATCTGCTTGCAGATGTCTGCACATTAATAACTCATTGCTAATCTAATTGTTTGATATTATGTTGTGTATATTTAAAGTGTTTTGAGGCAATAAATTGTATTATTATAACCTCAAACTGTTGTTTCAAAAAGTTGTTAAGTTGTTCGCCCTTTAATGTAACGTCACAGGCTGTCTACTGTCAATATAGAACAAGAAAACCAAAACGTCAAAATGTGAGCTTTTTACGTATGACAATAACCTTCAAAGAAAAAAGAACTTAGATATCATTTAATCGCAAGTTTCTTCAGCTTGTTCAACGAAAAAAAAAATCTCTAGTTTAATCATATTTTACACCATCTACAAGTTCCGGCTCGCACGAATTAGAAAAAAGTTTGACAGGGAGTCCTACCTTTCACCTTTTGGGGGGCTCTACGAGTTGGAGTGGGGCTCCACCGGTAGCAGGAAGGAGCCGCTCTGAGCTACGATGTTGTCGCCGCAGACGGAGTACCCGTTGTGGAACATTTCCGGTATTTGGACCAGAGAGTCAGTTAGAACGTGCTCATCTGGAAGAATAGTCTGGTTGTAATTTAACAATAAAGAATTTTTATTAAAACACGTCTTTCTTTTATACTTTTTTTTTCCTACTAAATACCAAGGGTGCCATTTAAAAATCAAAAGTTGTAGTAATTTCCGGTGAAACAGGAAGTGACCGAAAACCGGCTCTTTCACTATATTTTGGAATTAGCATAATTGAATAAAGCAATTAATTCTAGAATTTTCTGCTATCTCACTTTCTAAAAATTTGAAGTCGTTCTTAAGAAAATAAATAAAAACAAAAATGCCCAGAATAAAAATCCGCACTTTATTTTTAATACGTCACACCTGGCATGTTGAAAAGCGGCAACACGGCTGCGGCCGGGCCACCATGCTGACCCACCACCACCTCCACACAAAGCCATGCAAATTCGATACGGTTGTTTTTTTCCATTCAAAAATTTTAAACAACCCATCCATTTACTTTTAGTGCATAGCAATTTTCAGCGATCGTCAAACTTTTTTATTTATAAAGATTTTCACATACTGTCAGCGAAGAAAATATAGCAGAAATGTTAAGAAAGTTTTTGAAAAAACTACAATCAATTATTTTTAATAGATTTTGAGATATCGATTCATTTTGAATTTAGAGTTCTAATAGCGCGATCACTATCGAACACCAACTCAATTCCACTTATTTTTACCAAAAATGCAAGTGTTTCTAGCTTGCACTTAAAGTTTTTCAAGCTATAGGGAAAATTACAACGACTCGTTAATAAATAAACAAATTAAGTATCACGAGACGTAATTAAATCGTGAAGCTGAACGTATGATGTACACCTTTTTTAGAACTGACAGAGGTACTGATTGGATCGACCGATCGACTGCGACAAATATGCTATATCCCCTTCCACGTCTCTTAGCATTATGCCCAGTTTCTCGGTTTAGTTCCTACGTTTGGCAACGTGTTTACTGTCCTCTCTTCGTTCAGTACATTATAAACGCATTGTACTCTTCTTACATACGAAAATCTCGACCCAAGACTAACCTTTGCCAGCCCTTAGTATGTGTATAATAAGAAAAAAAATATTGATAATATTAAAGACGTGACAACATAGGCTGGATGAGGAAAGCTCGGTCGGCTGCGGTCGACTGTACCAAAGCCATCTATATTGTCTAACGACAAGCCGTGAAGTTAAAAAGGCAACGTCGCATATTTCAATTTAAGTGGTCCGGCATAACTTAACCTAACTTTTGTTTTCATGGTGGCGATCGACAAAATATGAAAAATAAGTTAACGAAACAAAGCGGAAAGCGGTTTGGCTTTGAGATGAAGAAAAAAAAATACACAAAACAGGAAAAAACATCTTTTATTTTTATTAAATACCTATTCCAATAATAAATAATTATTAGTGGATACAAAAGAATCCTGATACAAACAATTTATAGCTCTTTGAACATTTGCGTATGCTTTGTCTACATTGTACTCATATTCTTTCGGTACCTGCCTTGAAAACCTGTATCTAGCAAGTAGATTGTCCAATTATGACTATCGGCTCAGTTTCTTGTCCTTAGGTAGAATCCGTCTCAGCTCACATACTGTTAGTTCACAGTTTCCGATAAACACTTGTACAGTAAATGTACTGTCAATAATTGATACTGGACACACATTAACACTATCTTCACTGTCTAAGTCATCAATACACACATTCAACAGAAAAATAAACTTTCCCATCCTTAACTTTAAACCAACACAACAACACCAGACACACTTTTGACTCAAAAGTTTCAAGAAATTCAGCAAAACTATTTATTTTGACACTTTTCAAAAAATTTTCTGTTTCCTGTTGAAATTTATTCCTAAATTTATCTTCCTTCTTGTTTCAGGGTCAGCTCGAGAAGTTGTTAGGGGTTTTGACAAGTATTTGGGTTGATTAGGAAAAATGTGCGTCACTGCATCTTCACGTAATCTTGGCCTTTTGAGTGGGAATTCGCCCAAAACCCCTTCTTTATTTTTATAGGTTTCAACTCTTATTATCTCGGATTTTTCGAAATGTTTCTCGCAAACTACAGAACTATTGGAGAATTCAAAATTGTCCCTATGGCTTGACCGGATCCATTCCTGTCGAATAAGTTGCTCTTTTGGAAAAGAAACTGTGGTTTTCTTTCCTTCATGTTTCAAAGCACTGGCATAATTTGAGGTACAGCCAGGAACACAGCAATGTCTAGGCATCTAAAATTAATCATATTTTTATCAAATATGAATAACGAACGCTTTTTATGAAGCAAGATTCCAGAATACAAAATGTTTAAATTATTAAACCAACTCACCTCGAGTTTTTACTTGTTTACACCTCCTAATTTGGGAAAAATCGATAAGAATCTAACCACAGAATTCGTAACCAGCGGACTAAACAACATGTTGCCAGATTGCGTACTTCACGGCTTGTCGTTAGACAATATAGATGGCTTTGACTGTACCAAGACGTAAACATGTGTACAAAAAATATTGTTTGACCCTTTGAATAAGAAGACTAAGGAAGGAGCATAATGCTATCCATGGATTTATGGATGGTGGGCGGAAAAAGGACTCTAGGGTGGGGATCCTTGACAGTTCTGTTTGACGATTCATTTGACACATTTGAATTTGATTTGAAATTTTGTGGATTTGTCAGTCTTTACGGAGCTTATTTTATGTTATTTATTATTTATTCTACTACTGATAGTTGTATAAAGGTAGTAAATCTAGATGGAAATTGTGGCAAAACTTTTTTAACAGTGACACTATCGCGATTTATCGAAAAAGACTCTAAAATAGTTGGTTGTGTAGCGTGCGCTAGATCTCGGCAAAAATCGAGTGAAATGATCGAACAACTTTTCACTAGTAAGTGACCATATAATATACATACGTGTAGTAAACCGATCATTTATGAAATTCACTTAAATTAATTAATTATATATTTTTTCTTGCATTTTTGCTTTTATTTACTACTTGTCAAAGATTAGATGTCCAAGAATTTAGATATGTCAATTTGACTTACCTGCTTCAGTAGCGTATCGGATGTTTGTGTTAATAAAATAATTATTAAAACTTATCTATTTTTATTATAATAATATGTTTTTATAACAATTTTAATAACTACCAACATCTATTCACAACGTAAAATAAAAAAAATTATTGAGTCTACCCCACGTCTACCCTACATCATAGTTTTACATTTTCTAAATAAAATTAGAACGGCACTGACAAACCGGAATTTAAGTCGGCCATATTTGAGTCTCATCGCGGTGGACCTAAGATTTTTGATATGCTCCTTCCTTAGTCTTCTTATTCAAAGGTTTGACCGCGTTTAGATGTAAATAGTGTAGTCTATATTTTATTTAAAGTCTATAGGTCTATTCAATTCAAACTCACCCAACAGCGAATCCAGCAACCCGTGCGACTGACTCAGCTTCTCCAGCGACTTGACGTCGTTGTCCACCGCGGCCAGCGCCTTCTCCAGCTCCTCCTCCTCCTCCCGCGAAGGCTCGTACTCCCCGTTCCTGTTCACCGAGAAGAAGTCGCTGAACTCGTCCACCTGGATCGTGCTCAGCACGTTGCTGATGTCCGACTCCTCGAGCAGGTGGGCCTGGCTTACCAGCGCCTGCTCCAGGCCGTTGTCGTTCAGCTCGAGCACCTGGTCGATCTGCAGGTCTTCCACTTCGAGTTCGGCGGTGGGCGGCGGCGATGCGCTGGATTGTACTGCTTCTGGAAACGATAAAGAAAAGTTTTTGTATCTTTCTAACGCTTATGGCGTCCTGGGGTCGGACCCCAATTTTTTTTTCAGTTTAAAATACGCGATGAAGAGATTTAATAAAAAGCTTGTTATTTTAACACTGTTTACAATATAATATTCAAACTTGTGAACAAATAATCTCATTAATTTTCAACAAATTAATAAGAACGGACACAAAAATAAAGTAAAACGCATTTTTTAGGAATTTTTGACAACAGAAATATAACTTGGCTAAGAAACCCATAGAAACGAAAAACAGATATATTTTATGATTTTACCGTATTATTAAAAGTACAAACAACTGAAATGTGAAGCTACAGTAATAAACATAAATTATTTTCAACAAAACTGCAAACCTGAATGTACAGGGTGGGTCAAATTCGACGCTTTTAAATGGAAACACCCTTTTCTATAGAAGATAGACGAGAACTAATATCGGTGTCTGGAGCTCAATTTTCATCAAAAACATGATGGTGAAAACCGCACATCAATATCTGTTACCGTTTCGGAGTTACGGGGTGTTTTTCAAAAATGTGCATTTTTAACAAATCGCTGTAACTTTTTTGCTATGGAAAATTTTGTATTTCTATGAAAATATTTCCAAAGCACCTTTTTACGTAGAATTTAATGGTTTAAGTATAATTTTTATAAAATTAACAATTTAAGAGTTATCAACAAAAAAAACTGAATTTTATTTGGGACACCCTCTATATTTTTAATTGACCGAAAATAATTTAAAATTACCTTTCCAAAAATATAGCAGACTTGATATTTTGGACCCCTTATTAGGCTTTGGACCCCTTTTTGATGATATGCCCTTAATCGGTCTTAAGGGCAAATTAATATCTTAAATTATACAACAAATTTAAACATTTTTAGCCAAATTTCATTCAGTCAGGTTTATAGACTTTAGTGTCATGTCGATATGATTGATGACATGCCCTGCAGGGTTTATATATTTTGTAAAGACCAGTTAGAACTATAATAATATTGTAAAACCGTAAAATTAAGAAAATGGCGCTTATGGCTTGTACTAAAGTGTACAAAAATGTACTAAAATTACAATAAAACGGAGAAAAATAGTAACTTACCTCCGGACGGCATAGCGATTTCCCTAATTATTGCACTTGGCACAACAGCTGTTACCGTATCTTCACTAGCCTTAGAAAGAGGTTTTTTCTTCTTCTTGTTCCTCTTTTGCGGCCTTATCATGGCCGAAGGCTTCACTCGTTTCCTAATTTTCTTTGGTTTCGCTTCGTGGTACAATCCATAGTTATCCTAAGCAGAAAAAATAAATGTATTAGAAAGATATGCAGGGTGTCCAATTTTCGTGTGTTTTCCGGGGTTTGTTTCAGGCAAAAATGTCAAAAGTTGACATATGTTATGTCATTTTTTTATCGAATAAAGTAAAAAAATACCGAAGGTGGCATTTAAAAATGAAAAATTGTAGTCATTTCCGGTGAAACAGGAAGTGACAGAAAACAATTGAATACGTCAATCAATCCTAACTTATGTCATAAAAATAAAAAAGTTGTAGGGGTGAGCCAAGTTTGAGACGCACCCGGTATACTAACATATCAAATCTCATTTTTTTTTATCTAAAAAAATAAAAAAGTTACAGTGGTGAGCCCCCGGTATGTTGGCTAGTTAAAAAACTCGAATTATCTTGATCTTATCATATGAAATTTAGTTTTATATTACATAATATTATAAATTAATATAATTATTTCTTTCCTTACAGCATTATCTCCATAGATAATAATATTTACACAATTTATAATCCACAGCTTTATTTATATTTAAAAATATTAAAATTATAGTAAAAACATTAAAGATAACGTTGCTTTTCAGATCTTGACATAATTCATTGAAAAAACTATTCAAATTTAACAACAAATAAAAATATGTATCATATTTACAATAATATATATATTTTATTGCTTCATAAAAAATGTAATTTAGAAGTATTATATAAATGATGCAATTAAATTAATACCCAGCTTTTGTTGTTATAAACATCCTCAAAGGGATATACATATTTAACTTTAAAAAACAATTCTCAATAATTAAAAAAAATGAAAAACAGAGACTGAAAAAAATACTTATATCAAATATCATAAATTATAAAAAAACTATATAGGTATGTATTAACAATGCAGCATTAATACTATAATCTTGAATACTTCTTGACATAAACTTAATCACAGATAATGCACAAGCGTACAAAAATAGAATTTTTTAATTGTTACAAAAAATATAATGTCATTTTTCTGACTTGTGTAATAAAATAATTCAAAACAACTTACCCTCTTTCTGGCATGTTCAGCACAAAGAGGCAACTCATGGGACACATCGAACACCGGCACAGAGCACTGACTGCTATCGGCAAATTTGGCAGTGCAATATTCGAATAACACCTGTTTAGTGTCCAACATTATATGCACTATACAATGTCTCGTACAAGCCAGAGCAATCTTTCCACAATTCTCAACCTAAAGAAAACATTTTTAAATATCTACAGTGAGATTTTTCAGGCAAACAGTCTTACCTCGCATAATCTTGGGGCCACAAAAGCCCCCTCTTTAGTCTTACTTCTCCAAGGATTCTTTCGGCTGGGCTGTTCCTTCCACTCAGGCATTTTGTTCTTTTTCCCCACGTTGCTTCTCTGAATCTGCTGTAGTTGCCTCAAGAATTCGTGTCTGGTGATTTCAATCCGTTCCTCTCGAGATCTATCTTCCATTTTGAACTTCTACCAGCCCAAATTGCATTAGAATTTGTTAGAAATAAGTAAAATAGATGACTTTTACCTCCAAACTAACACTAAACCAATGCTGTTGGTAGTAGTTAAATTCATCTTTTTCGTATTCTATCCTTTGCAGTGCTTCGTGATGGGTTACTTTTAAATTTTCTTTCTTAATCTTATCTTCTACCCCTAAAAATGACTTGTGCAGTTCTGCGTTACTAATACCTAAAAACAAAAGTTATTAAATGGTTGAGCTGTGATAAATATTGTGCTGTACTAACCTATAATACTGTGTACTGATGGTTTTTCATCAAAGTCTGGTTCTTCCTTAAGAGTTGTCACCGTATCTGCCTGACGGTTTCCATTGAAAGACTTGTTATTGTGTATCGTTTTCCTAGGAGGGTCGACATACCGTTTATTATTAAATACATCCTTATTCTCTATTCTAAAGTTTTTAAAGCTACTATTGTTATAGTTTTTTGTATTAACTACGCTGCTCGCTACAGATATATCATGAGGTGAGGAATACAAGCCATTACACCTGTAAAACAACATCATTGTTTACAAACAATACATCCGCTCTTCTTTTCGGTCAAAATGTAAAGTTTCCTTGCCTTTGATTTCCTTTAATCCCTGAATTGAACATCTTAAGGTTTCCTTAATACAAAAGGCTCTTTAGAAACATTTTTGCTCTACAAATATAAACACAACGAACAAGATGCGAGTACACCGCTATCACGATGCCGATACATAAGAAATAATTCTAGGTTTGCATAAATACAAGCGTAATACGGAATTAACAGTACAAGTTTTAATTAAATTTGCTATAATAAGATAATCAGCTTATATTTTAAATAACAGTTTTAAGTGACAGGTCATGTAAGGTTATGACCGATCAATGTAATCGTCCGATACGGTACAAAATAAACACTAAATTTGAAGCGCCTACTAAAAACTAACTTTTCAGGTAACGAATTTGTTTAAAAAATAAATCTTCTGTGTAATTTGCAAAATTTTCTTGAGTTTTTTTAATGTTTTGTTTGACACTTTGACAAATGACAACTCCTGTGTCGGGCTGCCAACCTTTAGGTGTGTCAAATGACTAATTATAAAAATAACAAAATTCTAATATTTCTCCGAAATATCTGTTCCAAATTTACCAAATACCGAACAGCTATTGTTTATAAATATATTAATTAAAAACATACGTTAATTTAAAAAATAGAACCCTAGTATCACTAACCTTTGTGTAGACTCAGTAGATGGCACTGTATCCGAACATACACAATCCGAATAGATGTCTCTAGTATCCTTAAACTTGTAAAATTAAATTTTTCCATGTTTGAACACTCTTCCCAAATACAAATTAATTTACTGATGCATAAGCGTTACGCTCAAAAATATAAAGGACAATAATTGAGGAATAGAAGTATATTTAAATTTTATGTTAATAAGTAAAATTTAACAATGCCAGAATAATTTAACGGACAATTGTATAGAATAAAAGACTTGTTACAAAGTGAAACAGGCTCGGAAAGAGGATAATCAGGAAAAGTAGTTATTTCAAGGGAAACCAACGAGCTTAGTTTGCAGAGTATCTATAAAATACTAGGTGTTCCTTAATGCAGTGGCGGCTCGTGGTTGTTATTGTAGGGAGGTCAATATCTAAAAATATTGCGTCGATTTTTTTTAAGACGCCACCAAATTTAATTGGTTTCTTACAATAAGGTACTTGTACGTTTAGTTAAAGGAAAATAAATCTAAAAATAAATACAAATTATGTTAAAATGAAACCTACATTTACATTTTAATTTAAAAGACACTTAAATAATAATGTCACAAAAGTATAAATACACATACACATTTCTAAAAGTTTAATTTCACTTTTTTTATATTTTAAAAATTTTTTCCAGCGATATGACTGAAATCCTGTAATATATTTTTATAGAAATAATGCACTCATTATTTCTTAATCAACTATATTAATACTCAACTAAAAAACAATATTACGAATTACAATAATAACATAGTTTAAGGAAAAGAGTAGTTGCACTCTCTTTCCATCGGATGTAAATCGGCAAAAGCTGATAGTAATTATCAATTAACATTTAATTATATTTGTTTATTTTAGAAGCTGAGATATTATGTAATTAATTAAATGTTATTATTTTGTTTAGCATGTGTGCAGATTTTAAAAATAGTTTTTTCAGATATACAGGTTGTCTCAAATATGCGCATGAAAATATTTTTTGGTCATGGGATTTTCCATAAAATTTTCATTCCAATAATAATTACGAGATAATTTATATAATTTAGAGTAAATATTTTGTACATCTAAAGTCTCCGCAAATTATTCATATTTTTTAATTGAAAGAATTTTATAATAGCATAATCTCTTATAAATTTAGTGGACTGTATTTTTTATTTTTTTTATTTATTTTTTATTATAAGTGGTCGTAATATAACAATATTCAAAATATTATAGACAAAATATTGAGTTTATATTTGAGGGAAGAAAAGTGCCACACCTAGCTTTAAACCACCGTAAATATACAGGGTGGCCCATTAGTGCGAGGAAGTTCAATATCGTCGTCGTTGTCGAAGATGTGAAAAAAGTTTTATTCATATGTTACAAGGTTTATAAAGTTATTTTTTTAAAAATATTTTACGATACACCCGTAAAATATTTTGTTATATACAGGGTGTCACAAAAAAAGTTATGGTAAAGTTAGTTTGATTTTTTTTTATTATTTTACATCATTCTATATACATTATTCTATATTGGGTATTTTTTATGGCGTCACCAAAATCGCAACATTTAAAATGGTATATCTCAACTTTTTTAAATACGACATTCTGTATATTATTTTTCTGTCAGATGCAGAATTAAAAAGTGAACATTTTTTTATTAATTTAAAGTGTTTCTAAATTTTTACCGTTGTCGCAGATATTCGCAGTATTATATTACATATGGCTCTTTCAACAGTAAATTTTTTTCAAAGCCACCTAATATGATCTTTGTCTATCTTGTCTTGTCAAAAAATGTTCACCTTTTAATTCTACATCTGAAAGAAACATAATATACAAGGTGTTGCATTAAAAAAAAAAAATGGGATACAACATTTTTTAAATATTACGATTTTGGTGACGCCATAAAAAATATCCTGTATACGATAAAGTAAATTTTTCTACACGAATTTATTCCGATATCCTTCATGTTTAAGAAAACATAGCAAAGTATTAATAAAGTTATATTCACTCTAGTTTTTTACCACTTTTCGTATATAATGTTTTTAACCAAAGTTTTAGTAAATAAGAAATAGATTGGCAACACCGCAGTGTGCTTTAAATAAAGACAGTGTACTATAGCATAATTTTATGCCGAATCCAGTTATCTACAGAAAATTAAACTTGCTTTAAATTAAAAAAAAGTAGTAGAAAATCTCTGAAATACATAATAATATAAAAATATATCATTATATATTTTTTCCGCATTTCTTCCCATCAGAAGATTTTCAGATACAGAAGAAATGTTACATACACGAAATGTGAAAATATTCTGTTTTCAAGCAAGTTTTTACTCAATGATCATTTTTTTTTTATTTTATTTTATTGTGAACTCATATTTTCCTAAATACATATCTGTGAAACTATGACGAGTGTCACGTCTATACTTTGCCTAGTTAATAGACCACGACTGTACAGCTACGTCGTCGGCTACGGAGGCGAGAACAAGGTCATATAAAGTGGCAGAAAAAGAACAAAGGGTTTGACAAGGAGTAAAACTACTAGTTTCCTTATGCCGGAACCGCACATGCGGCATTTAGCAAACTCCGAGCGCTCGTGATCGGACTTCGCCTTTCCATCCGCACATGCGGGCTCTGATAGCAACAACATAGAGACGAGCACTCGTTCTCGTCGCCGATCGAGTCGCCGAACTCCGACTTCCCGATCCACACACATAGGAAATCGGCGAAGCCCCGTTCGGAGATTGCCAAATGCCGCATGTGCGGTTGCGGCATTTACTATGATAATAACATGCTGAGGGATTTTTCTAGATAAAGACACAAACCGCCACTTTTTATATCGTCTGTCAGTAAACTACCAAATACAAGTGTATATAAAGTTGCTTATATACCTCAGAAATCCTTTTATGAATGACGCGGTCAATGTCCAATATAAACTATATCTATCGCACCTTAACCCATTATATTTTCTATACGTAGTATACTTTACCTTGTTGGCGTCACTAGCCGTGGCACTTGGCGGTTAATACGTGTAAAAAACATAGCGGGAATGAAGGACAAAATGAAATTTTGACCGGCAGAAGAGAAAATGGGTAAAATAAAATGTTTTCAAGCGAAAATTGGATAAATTGGGAATAATTTTGAATATTTTAGGATGAAAAAAAGTTATTTACAAAAAGTATAATTTAAATAAGTTTTTCTAATTTTTTGCTGATTTTTTTGGGAGGGCATTGACCCTTTCACCTCATGGTTAAGCCGTCACTGATAACCATTGACAATGATATAACGTTCTTCTCATTATCTTGCTTTCAACTTTTTCCTATGTTTAGAGTTAAAAAAAGCGTATTGATGAATAATTGTGGTATACGTGTTGAGAATCTGCCAGAAAATAGAATATCTGTAAGAACCTGTAGAGCCATTTAGTTCTTTGCAATCTCTACGTATTCGAGCTCGGCGTTCCACAGTAATTCTTTCAGCGAATCTCACATTTCATCGCGTGGAAATTGACTAATTTGTCTACAGAAATCCAGAATGACATTTTCCAGACGTTTCTTTTTATTTTAGCGCCATTTCCTGCATTAGACTAGAATAATTATGCACCCATAGAAACTTTTATATTTCCTAGTCTTTCATTGCTTTTCTTTGTTGACTCCGGCTGCAATGAATTCATGTACTTAGTATTGAGTTTCCTAAGTGTCTATGTTTTGCTAAGTGCTTTATAACATTTGACTTTCACAAAAATCAAGAAAAAGTACGGGAAGGGCAAAAACGTTACAACCCCCACCCCGACATAAATTTTAGTATAAAAATTCTTTAACTCAACCGACGACCGATTTTTAGCAGGTATGGTAGGCTATTAAGATGGGCAAAAAAAAAGTTTTTTTGATTTCACTCAAAATGAGTTATTTGGGTCATAAATGACCTAAATACAAAATATTTTTGTGGTGTCTGTTTGTCCGTCTGTCCGTCTGTAACACAATAACTCAAAAACCGCTAAACCGATTTTAACCAAATTTGGCACAAAAATACTGTGGCACCCGAGAATCTGGCTATTAGTTTTTGGTGGGGGTGGCGAATTGGTAAGGGGGTATAGGAGGGCGTTAAAAATTTGAAAAAATCGTAACTCCAAAATTACAGTAGCTAGCGAAACGCGGTTTTCAATTTAAGATTAGGAATAATATTTGCAACAAAATTTGTAATAACATCAATATCAGTCAAAAGTCAAAACCCATCGGACGTGACCGCAGGTGGCGGATAGGGGAAATAACCGCGGACCAAAATTGGAAAAATTCCTTTACTTTGAAACTAAAAGAACTGCCTACCAACTTTTTATTAACATATTTTAGTATGGGCGTGCCTCCCGGCGCCATTTTTTTTTCGTAAAATGGTCCATCTAGTATTTACTACATTTTTTGTCTCTTGTAAAAAAACGCTAGTTCGCATAATTTTTGAGAAAAAATATTTTGGAGTATTTTCCCGTACTTGTTCTTGATTTTTGTGAAAGTCAGATGTTAAAGCACTTAGCAAAACATAGACACTAGATACCCAAAATCTCATTGAAGTAGTGATGTTGGTAGCGAATATTTCCAAACGAATTTTGCAGGAAATTTCCGAAATATTCGGTCCCAAAATCGCAAGAATATTCGCAAAAATCCGAATTTTGCCAGACAGTGAGCAAAAATTTAACGAAAGTGTGTCAAGTATGCCTATTCTTAAATCAAAAGAAAAAGAATGCTTCTCCGCATTACAAAATAGAAAACGTATTTTTCTTAAACCAATGCATTTTGCCGCGAATCTC